ATTAAAAATTTCACGCACCAGCGCATGAAAGCTGAATTCGAAACCTTGAAGGGTGAATATCTTCCCATGGTTCCCGAGTTAATAGTTTAACCGCAAAAATTCTCACGAAGCCATAGGTGATATTCAACAGCGAGGCAACGCTGGATTTGAATAGGCAAGGTTGAGCGTGGGCAGGGGGTCATTACCCTAAAATCTCAGCTTCCTTGACCCCGTGGTTCCCGAGATAATTTACCCGTAAAAACTTTTACTAGCCTGTACGTGACATCCAAAAGCGCGGGAACGCTGAATTTGAATGGGCAAGATTGAGCGTGAGCAGGGGGTCTTTACCCTAAAATTTCAGCCTCCTAGACTCTGTGGTTCCTGAGATATTAATTTACCTGTAAAAAACTTTCACGCGGTCGTACGTGTTACCCCGCATAAGGGAAGGCTGAATTTAAATTTGTCGCGTCACCCGTTGACGGGGAAGACTATATCAAAATTTCAGTCGCCTAGCTTTTGTGGTTCCCGAGTTGAAAGTGGGGGACAAAATGTGGGACACACACCCAAACACACAGAGACACACACACACACAAACAACCCCATGACAATATGCGTTTTGTAACGCTGTTACACAGCACAAGACGCATAAAAAGGAAAAAGATAAGAAATGAGAAATAGAAAATTTGTGAGATTGTGATAAGGTGAGAAGCGTCCCGGCCCATTAAGCCGTATACATTTCTTACCATTACCACAACCGGTTCTCGTCAGTACGCGTAGGACCGAACGGCTTGAGGCACAGCTGCGTTTGGCGTTTGAGAGCATCACAGTAACATCATTAATATTTACTGCCCAGGGTGTGTTGGCATATATATTTGTGAAAAGAAATGTTGATTTGCTGCAAAGTTTTTTTTTTTTCTTTTACACCGAAAGCAAAACACGAAAAGCGAAAAACACACAGTGCACTGGGATTAATGACAATATCTTGGGCTACTGCATGATCGGAAAATATATCAATATATCCAGAAACAAAAAAAAAGCATAACAAAACAGCGATTGCGCCGAAGTAACAAACTACTTCACCTGCTGACGTTAAGTAAAAAGCTAGTGAAAACGAACAAATATTAATTAATAACTGTGCCATAGATGTGCCTTCGTTTGAATGCGGAATGCTTCGCAATATACGGAAGCTAATTTTTGCAATTCCAAATCGGAAAATCAAAAAAAAAGACCGGAAATTTTAGCTCCCACTTCCGCACGTTTCGTTAAAAGATTATGAAACTCAACCCAGTGAAATGCAATCTTTTCAGCACGAATACACAGCACAAACTATGGTAACTCTCTGGAGTCTAAGGCTTGGAAAATTCACTAACCTTCAGTCTTTCAGCATAAAAAATGACAATTTTTTAGCATAAAAAATCAGATCCATGCTGCATTTTAAAACAGCACAAGGAAAGCCGCAAATGCAGTGAAATGGCATATGGAATTATGTGGATTAGAGAAGCTCAAAATAGAGAAGAATGGAGAAGTTGCTAGCTGCATTAACTCAAATGGCGACAACACCATTTACGCCAAGTATCTCGAGATCTAAAAAGAAAAGACACTTCAAGCATCAGGTACCATTGTCAGTTTATAAACACATCCTTCAAATTATACACAATTGTTAGTACAGCTAGTACGAGAACATGTGGTAAAAAATGTGCTTGTCATCAAAACTTAAAATAGTTGTTATGTTTTACAAGCAAAAGCTCAAGTGTCACTGTGAATTAAAAGCAAAATCGAGTGAGGAGGTGAGGGAATGCAAACAAATCGAGGACGAGAATGCGGGTATTTTGGGGAAGGAAATGAGGGTAATTCCAGGGTGGAAACGAGGGGACGTGAGAAAATCGAAAAAAGCAATGCAATAAATCGAAATGGGGGAATGAGGCATTTTGAAATAACTGTTATAGCATAATAAAAATTCATGAAAAAAAATAACCAATTAAGCAATTCGCGTAAAAACAATATTTGTTTTTATACAACCAATTGCACATGAAACGATAAAACTTAAGAGAATTAAATGATTAACTTGAAAAATTTCAATAATTTTTTCTGGTTTGAAAAAATGAATAAAAACATTATAGCACGCATGAAGTCTCTAGAAAAACACAGCACTGGTGCGAGAAAACATCATTACAAGCTTTTTGCATTTAAAAGAAAACAAACTAGCCGTCGTACCGGAAGCGATTTAAGCCAGTACATGCGAAAAGCGATGTTAGCAAATTCAGGATATACATGCGAACATTAACAAATTCAGCAAAGCATATCAGTATAAAATTCCATCAACATCGAGCAAAAAACTGAGAAAAATGCCTTAACAATCTCTCACAGCTCCCTCAGCAAACATATTTTCGAAGCAAAAGCAAACTTGTAAGTCAATTATTCATTTCCTGTTGCCAACGTAATTCAATCAAACACAACAAAAAAAAGTATTATAAAAAAAGCAGTAGAAAAAATAGCGAAGTGCACAGAGCTTGTTAATAATATTAAGAAAAAAAATTCAAGAATACTGACAATACAAATGCACAGCGCTTCCGTCAGAACAGAATAATTATTTCAAGAAAACCAAGACCACCAGGATAATCGGTGTGGGAAACAAACTAGCCGTACCGGATGTAATTTAAACTACACGCAGAAAGTATATTAATAACAAATTCCGGGCAAACATGCGAACATTAGGGCAACTGGTGTGGGAATCCCATGCTAGTGATGTCAACAGAGTACCTCCACTCGCCCAGTGCAGCTATGCCAGATCCTGAGCTGCATGCCTCCATTTAGTACCTATAGCCTCGTTTAAGTACATGGGCACTACCTCATCGAAGGTTGTCCAAATGCCAGTTTATTTTCTCACCAATATCACTTACTAATAATTTTTTAGGCGGAAAATTAAACCAGTATAGCTATCACAGGCAGATCTAAGGGAAGAAACGTCTCTGTCCCACTCTCCTCTCCCCCTTCCTGCCCTCCTCCTCCCTCCCCCCTTCCTACCTTCCCTCTGCGGCACAGGCACTAGTGCTGCAAAAATCCGGTACTATGGCTAAAACTGAAGTAAAACTAAAGCCTAAAGTAACTGTAAGTAGCAGTGTTACAACCCTATTCCTAGTCTTTGCATAGTTCCTGGGTAGAAGGGGACTCTTCTCCCCACGGTCCCAGGGGCCACACTCTCCATCCCTTCCCCCTCCTCGCATCGTCCTGCCCCAGGAGTCCGTCCTAGATCCAATTATGATAGCTGATAATAGCCTATTTCGTGCAAGTTGCTGTCTTCATTTTTTTAGCATAAGGACAATAAATTTCCACTACAAATAATGGTACCTGCGCTCTATAGAAGTTTCTTATGCGGGAAATCCCGGAACAGCGACTCCATTTCGTTATTCCAAGAAAGAAATCCCAGAATTCTTGCCGAAAATAATGATAAAAATTGAGCAGTTGGTTTTTAATGCGGTAAATCGGACTAATTCAGGCACGCAAAGACTACTAACTTTTGGTTGAATAAATCCGGGACATTTCTTAGCTTTTCAACTTTTAAATTCCATACAGCGCAAAATCCATAGAGAGTCCGCAACAATGTCTGGGCCGGTACTGATAAGCCAACAGCGTGGTACAACTGAACACTCAAACGGAGCCAAACGGAGAGCCAGGGGAGGGGCGGAAGAGGGAGGGAGGGTGGTAGGAGGAGAGAGGAAGTTTTTTCGAGTTTTCTAAAGTAACTCTAATCCTCATCTGTATCTGATAATTGGAAAAAAAAAAGAAGGCATGCAAAACTAATTTTAAAAAAAACCATCAAAACAATCATTCGCTCTCGGACAATGGTGTTGAGAAGAAAGAATTATGTGAAAGTTTAGCTAGCTTTATCTTTTTGTCGTTCATCTGCCCCTCATCCTCCTAATGAAAATCCACCTCTTTCAGATCCGTTAGCCGTATCTCACATAAGAATTATGGTAAATAATATACGCTAAAGTAAGAAATTTATTAAAAAATAAATTAGTCAAATGAAATTTTTACGAGCGACTCCTTCAATTGCTTTTTGTAATCCTTCCTGACATCTAAAGCAACCTTTCTTCTTTTAGAGCCGTTAACTCAATCAACGAGATCATAAAATAACTGGAGAAATGCAAAACAATGTATACATAGGGTATGATGCAGGCATAGGCGGATCCAAGGGGGAAGGGAGGGGGAGGGCAGGCGAACGATCTTTCGTTGCCCCTCCCCTACACCTAAACCCCAGCGACACAGGCATCAGAGCTGGAAAAGTCCGAGTCTAAAGCTAAAACTAAAGCCTGAAGTAACTCTGAGTAGCATTTGCAACACTGGTCCTAGTTTTTGCATAATTCCAGGGTTGGAGAGGTCCCCCTCTACTCCTCCAAGAAGTCCGCCCTAGATTTTTCTATGAATGCAGGAGCTTGTTGAGAACTTGTTGATGCCGCACATTACTGAATGTCACTCACGGGGAAATACACGACCATTCGGGCGACTCAAGCACAAATATCAAAAAAAGGGACGGCTGCTCTAACTGTGGGTATGCAAATCTGAATGAAAATCCTACGCTGCTGCGCCCCCTCCCCCCGCTCTTCGCCTCGTGTGGAAGCATTCCAGTAACATCATTAGCATGGGACAGCCACAGTAAATGCCTGAGAAACTTGGTATTTCCGGTATAAAAAGAAAGGCTGTGTTTAAGCAAACATCCTGCGAACAAAGCCCTGTAATTGGCCTACAATGTTCGTGAATTGTTGAAATTCACTCTAAAAAGCAGTTGTCGCTTTCAGGAACTGAATGAGCTGTAAATTGCGCTGCAATTTTGCGAGCCTAAGAGGGCAATTATGACAATTTAAAGTAGAAAAGAAAGGGAGGGAAAAAAAGAAAGAAACTGCATCGAGCCACAAATATCACTGAAAATGCACTGAAATCAGCGTATAAACAAACAATGAGAGAAGAAAAATGAGAGAGTTTTTCTTCGTTTTTTTAGGAATTACTTGGATGGGTTGTTGCCAATGGTTGCAATGCTTCATCCTTCACTGGTCTCAGATCTGTTAATGGTAGCTCGGAGTTGTCTTTTGCTGACCGCAAAGGTTTTGTTGAACTCGTCCCGGAACTACTTTTCTCCATTTCCAATCGTTTGTATTTTGGATTGAAGAAGAACACTAGTATTACAGCAAGAAATGTGGCAATTATCGACATTACCTGCAAAAAATTGGAAAAAAATTCGTCATCAAAAACTGGTGCATCAATCTCGGATAAACAGAGAGATATGCACGTTCTTAATTTTTTTAAATAGCTTTTTATGATTCTCAGCCAAAAATTTTCACGAATCCGTATTTGGGAACAACGCACACTGGAGGCTGAACCTGAAGTCATTAGAATGTACGTGGACGAGGAACACCCCATTAAAATTACAGCTTTCTACCTTTTCTGATTCCCAAGTTAGCAGTTTACCCACCAAAAACTTTCACGAGCCCGTAGCTGGGAACCACGTGGGAAGAGCGTCCATTTTGGGGATGGAGGCCTGTAAATGCATGTAGATTAAGTTCTCGAAATTTTAGCCCTGTAGCTTTTGTAGGTTTCGAAATGAAAAATCAGTACAGACAAATACACAGACACAGGGACACGTACACACACACGCGCACACACACACATACACTTAGAAAACCCTTCGGTTTTATGCGCTTTTGCGTTGCATAGATGCAAAAAATGAACAATAAGAAAAAATACCATCAAAAAATATGACGAAAGAAAAACTAACAATAACAAAAAGTGTAGCATCTCGTGGTTCAGTCATTGTAGAAGCTTCGGCCGCAGTACGTGCTACTGTACATACTTCAATCTTTTTGTACTCTTTGCTCAGCGGTTTTGTTGTTACATTCATCAGCAGCACAAAAATAATTGATTGTATCTTAACAGAAATTACTGAGTGTATTAATGCTGTTTTTTATGCCATGTCATGAGTGTTTTTGCATAAAATTATATAAGCAAACAGACTCTCCGCTGAACGATTGGGTCCAGGATACTACCGGAACTATGGTAGAAAATGAAATCTGATGAGAAAGGCATGTTACTTGGTTTGCTGACCCATGGAAATGTTTCAGCAATCTTATTTGGGTATCTGAATTAGCACTTAATGCTTTCCCACAATTGACAATACTCAACTGTGTCTCTTTCATCGGCTGGCCTACAGCGCCAAACAAACACCCATAGTTCACATTTTTCAAAAAATTTTTCAAAAATTTTCAAAACACTTGGTATGTGGCATTTTTGGAAACAATGATATGCTATTCGCGTTAAAGAAAATCACTATTCGGACGATTTTCAAGATGATGACGCGAGTATGTCGAAGAGTTGAAGGGCAGAGATCGAATATATGCAATTCAGAAAAGAATGTTTTGAAGAACAGGTTTAGCATGTTGATGCATCACAGTAACGTCGAGGTATCACAGTGGTACCCAAATCACTGCCACGAAAAAGTACCACAGCGGTTTTCAGGTTATTTTTCATGCGTCAAGCGCTTTCGTGATCAATTGTGCATGAACCTCGGTGGATTATGGTGCTCAACTGTAGTCAGGTAGCACTACCCGCTCGTCCGAATACAGACACACTATAAGGACACCATTTCCCCTACTGAGGATCATTATTGTTCTTGTTTGCCTTGTTGTTTTTCGCCCTAATCGCCATTCTACCATAAATCAGTACAACGCAGTGCCTGCTGCACAGTTTCGCCACTGTCAACAATTAATACAACGATCATTCCAAACCATCATGCAGCCGTGTACAACTTAGCCGAC